AAGCATCACAAGTAAATTTTATTAAAAAGTAAACAGTGTTATTAAAATCCTTAGACACAAGAGAAGTTAAAACATCCATGAAACAACAAGAATGGGATGAAATAAGTAAGGAAGAATTAGAGAAAAGGAAGTCCTAGAAGGTTTAACCTCTAATTAATGAATACATGCGTGCTTGACAGAGAAACAGAGTAGAAAAATCGGAAAGGGTATTTCATTGAATTATCTGAATCAAAAGTTTTTAGATTGAAATTGCTCACCAAGAGTCTAGCCAGTAAAAAAAAAAAAACACACACACACTAAGTGCCTAACCAACATATAGTATTGAAACATTTCAGAATACTGGGATAAAGAGAGTACCAAAATTTTGGAAAGAGGAAAAAAAAAAGAAAACTGATCACATGGGGATCAGAAGCATAATAGTCTTCTCAATAGCAACTGTGGAAGCTAAATGATCTTGGAGTGACCGCTTTAAAATTCTGGGCAAAAATATCTATTGGGTTGTCGGAAAAGTCATGACGCATTTTTGCAATGAAAAATACATCATGCTTTTCCCACAACTCAATATTTTTAAACTAGAATTCTATAAGCAGCCAAAGTATCAATTAAGTTTTAGACAGAATAAAGGCATTTTGGTCTGGAATGAGTTCTAGGCTCCAGTCAAGCATAAAGCAGGGGAGAAACACTGTTCTGAATATAGGAGTGAACCAGGAAAAACACACAGGACACAGGAAATAGGGAATCAGCATCAGAGAAAAGGGAAGATAATATCAGGATGAAGTTTCTGGGGTAGACCTAAACAGATCCAACCCAGTCAGCATGAGCAGGCAGTCTGAGGCCTCCAAGAAATCAGCAGCAATGGTGGACCTAACAGCTAAATAGAATTTAGAGGATTTTAAATTTTCTGTTAGAGGTTTCAAGAAGAATTCATTCCAGGTGTCAATAAATATACGTAAAAGAAAAATATAGGTTTATTATTAATTTGAGGAAAACCAATGTAGTACCAGAAAAGAAATTCCATCATAATAACATAACACCTAGCTCACAGGCAAACTTTATGTGGTTATGGTAGCTCAAATTGTGAATATTAATATAACCAAAGTTTCTGAAATCAATATACTAGAAGAACAAAAAAAAGGAAAAGTGGAGGTGAGAAGGTAAAGAAGAGAAGGCCTAAATCATCATCTTGCAAAATAGGAAATAAAAATAATGAATAAAACTACTTTATAAGCAAATATTTAGAAACATGGATATAAATCCCAGAAGAAAAAGATAAAAACAGGCTTTCAGGAATGTTTAAAGATGAAGTGTGTGTGTGTGTGTGTGTTGCGAAGCAATGTAGGGGCAAGATATTTCTGTATTTCATTATAAATTTTGCAATATTTCTAATGTAGATATGTGACATATAAAATATTTTCATGTATTACTTTGATAAACATTTAAAATCATTTGGAAAATGTTCATATTATTTTTGGTTATTTTTTAATGCCAGTTAAATTTTGGATAACAGATATCCCAAACCTAAACTTAAAAATTAAATTACGTAATTTAATTTTAGTTTCTCTGTCTTCAGGATCTTGAGAGCTTAATTAACTAATGTAAAGTGCTAGTGAGTATTCTTTATGAAGGCAGCTAGACTCTCCCATAGATTTTAACATCTGTTACACTATGATGCTTACTTATAATTTTTAGATTTGGTACCTCCCACTTAAAGTATGAGGATGCTATTTTATGGCCAGCAAATATTAAAGACCCAACAAAATAAATGATTCATGGAGTATCCCTAGTAACATTTTCAACTTGAGTTATGTGGGTCATGTCTTTGACTAAAGAGCAGATTTTTACAATATAAGTTGCAATTTTCAAACTAAAAAATGTCTAAGTCCAAGGCCACTTACTAAAGAATCAAAATGCTTGCAGATGACTATTGTATTGGGAAAGACCCTTTATCCCTTTCATTGTGTTTCCTGCCATTTATATGTGAATTGTATTTTTGAACAATTAAATATTATCAATTACTTTTTCTGTATAATATATCTTAAAGTATTGATTGGGTTGAGAAGGATATTTAAAACTTTCTGTAACAAGATTTTGTTAAAGCAGAATTGCTGCTACATGAAAATACATTTCAGAGAGAGGAGGGATAAAATGTAATCAGTTTTATAAACCTAAGTTGAGAGATGATAATATCTAACAGTGATGAAATATAAAGAGACTTATTAGAAAACATATGCTGGATTCAAGAACATCAAAATAAAATTTAAAAGGCCTCATTATACATAGCCCACTGGTTATTTCATTTTCTCTGAGAATTGGGCAATCGGATCACAAAGGGAGTCTCTCGCATACAGTACTTGTCACAACCTTGATTTGGACCATCAGGACTGTTTTTAATTTTTATTTGTGGCTTTGGATGTTGTTTTCTTACCAATAATGGAATCTTAGTTTTTCTCTACTTCATATTGTACTTAAAACCCTTTAGGTCAGTTCTGACTAGTTTACACCATCAGATAAACATTTCTCAGCTTCCTAAATCAATTCTTCCAGAGGAACTGCCTCTAGACAAATTCGATCTCTTTGGTTTATAGCTATTTTCAAAATAATTTAGAAGTTCCCCTGTAACTCCTGACATGTTTAGGAATCCCCTGTAGTTCTTGTAATGTCTTTAGGGAAAGTAGGGTAAATATTTCATAACACAGTCACATTTTGGAAAGTCTAATTGCTTGGGTAATGAGATTAAAGACTATCAATTTCCTTCTGAAGGCAGTATATACTGCTGTAATGCCACCTCTTTCTGTTGCAAAGCTTGTAGGAGTTACAGAAAAGCAGCCATGAGTGTTTCTTTAAATAGAATCGCTGTTCTTGTGGGTTTTCAGTGCTAATGTTCAGCGACCACTAATTTCATATCTTACCAGGCAAAACTGTATTTTATACATTTCAGAGCAAAGCGCATTTTGAGACTCTTGTAGATGACTGCATGGAATTTAACAGCAAACTGATGCTTGTCTAAGCTCTGCAGGACAGAAATGTACATGCCTACTTTGAACAATTTTATTTTTACTCTTCAATTCTTCTCATGAATTACGGAATTTTTCCGAGTTGTGTCATTTAGGGCTTCAAGTTGCTTAGTATTCACAAGAAATATTACCAGAGATTACTCAGGACTCAGAGTGATTGAAAAGAAAGGCCTGAATTCTGGTACATCTTCAGAAAGCACACCCTAATACTCTAATGTAATGGGCATCAGGATAGGGCTCTTTTTGCATCCTGGTGCTCACATTCCACCATGGGATGGTGCTTCCAAAAATACAAAAGAAGGTTCTTTGGGGACCTGTGCAGGATTCTGATACGGCCCTCGGTTGCGTTCTGGAACAATGACCAGAAATGCGACTTTATCATATCATGCATAGAACCAGAAGCTTATTTTACTGGAGCAAAAAGTTATTTAAGACAGCTTGGGCAATATAATCAATAATGTTGTAAAGATTTTGTAGGAGGTCAGATGGGCACTTGTCTTATTAGGGAGTCCACTTCATGGACGGTGTAGATGCCTGACCACTGCACTGTACACCTGAAGCTGAAACTGAATAATACTGTATGTCAACTGTAATTTAATATATATGTATAGTAACAGGATGTGGAGTACAGCATAGGGAATAGAGTCAATGGAATTGTAACAGCTATATACAATGTCAGAGGAGTAGTAAATTGGGGGAGGGGAGTTATCACTTTGTGAGGTGTGTAAACGTCTAACTATTACATTGTTTTGTACACCTGAAACTAATAATCATAAAAAAAGTGATTTAAAAAGCACAATTATCTCTTGTATGTTAAAAAGTAAATTGCATACGATCTGCAATAGTGAAATATTTTATTAAGATATAGGTAGAGGGCCGACCAAGTGGCTCAGTTGGTTAAGAGCTCACTCAAGAGTTTGAGCTCTGAGCAACAGCAGTTCGAGTCCTGGCCTGAGCTGAGCAGCCATTGAGCTGCCAACAGGTAGCAGGATGGCTCAGCTAAAAACAAACAAACAAACAAACAAAAGATATAGATATTCACATACATACATTTATATGTATATGTATGTGTGTACATAAACATGTGTGCATGTGTGTGCATGTACGTGTGCATATACATAATATATATCTCCATACAGAAACTTGAAAGGGACTTCAGTGTCTTCTAAAGGAACGTTTCATTTTCTAATATCTTTAAAATACTTGTTTTCCCCAGTTTTCTGTCATTTTATTTCTCTTTCAATTTTCCACAGCTGCCCTATGGTATTTTCCTAACTTTTGTTTACTCAGCCATCTTTATCATCCCCAATGTTCTCCTTCCTAATGCTTTCTCCACTATTTCTGTGATACAGACCTATAAGCTTTTCAGCTATTAATTGAATTACTTCAGCTAAAGAGTGTCTTGGTTCTTAAAGTTGAAGAAACATAAATATTATAGCAAAATAGTTTGTGTACTTTTTTCTAATTTTGATTTTGTGTGTGCATATACATAGCTAGCTAATCTTTTTATAATGCACTAACACTGCAAATACATCAACTTGAAATTTTTAAAAGTAGAAAACATGTGAAATGTGTTTTTGCACTGCACTCTCTAATTAAAAAAAATCTTACCCTGTGTCTTGCACATAATAGATACTCGATAAATGCATCACAGTGGAATGAGTCATAAACTTTACACAAATATAACATCTCAAATGATTTTGAGAAAAAAAACAATTGTTTGCATTCTGATGAAAGGCAAAATCCTATAAATACATGAATAAAGTAGGTGAATTAACATTTCAAAAGTTTTATTTTTTCTTCACATCAAATATTTTACCTTAAAGAGAACCAGAAAACAAGACAATTACAGTCTGTCACTGTTAATCACAAATCATAAGTGATGGTCCCTCTTTGGCCTGGTGTTTAGTATTAACCAAAAAAATATTTAAAAGCAAAGGAAAAGTAGACATAAATAGCAATTTATAAATTAAAAGAGAGTTTTACCAAAGACAGTCAGCTCTGCCGGATCACTGTCTCTTTCCCCCACCATATTGGTGCCAACACAGGTGTACATTCCCGCATCACTTTTCCTGGTATTGGAGATCATCAGCTTTCCACTGCGGATCTGTGAAAATTAAAAAGAAGAAGGAGGAAGAGGGGGAGGAGGAGGAGGAGGAAGATTGAAAAGAAAGGTCAATAATAAAGAATTTTGAATATTTAAGCACAACATTTTATTTTCCTAAAGCAAAGAGTTGAATGTCTAAGACATAAAACTCTCCCACTATTTTGGCATCTGCAAGCGTCCTTTTTTCTCTTAAATTCTCCCTCAATAGCATCCTCTACTTCACTTTCTAGAGAACGCTTCTTTAAAGCAGTGTTTGTCTCCTGCCTGGTCTTATTTTGGGCCTTGTGACCATCCCCATTAAATCCCAATGGTTGATCTTCACTCTGAGACTTGGTTGGATAAATTGCTATAGACATTTGTCATCAGAAAGGAGCACTAAATACCTGCTTTGGAAAACGTAATGAAATACAACTGACTCAGAGGGATTCCATGCGTATTTATTGAGTGCCTCTACGGGCTGGGCAGTTTTGCAAGCACTTGAGATTAAGTTGTAAACCAAGAAATAAAAAGGTCTGCCTTTGTGGGCTTACATTTCCATTGTTTGTATTAATTATCTTTATTTCATCTTAATGGTGTTTATGAGATAATTTTTGAAGAGGACAGCAGCAGGTTGAATAACAACAAATTAAATGTGTTGAATGATGAGTATGAGTTGGTACAAATCTTTGGCTTCTACTATCTGCTCCCTAAACATCTTAAGTATGAAGCATTTATTAACTGAATTAACAAATATAATAATATTAAAATGCCTGTCTGTTAAAGTGTACATTAAACGAGATCTAGGTTTTCTGGGAGTGTAGCATTGACTCATAGCTTCTTTTCTAATTTTTCTTTTTTTTTTGTATTTATCTAATCTGACAATCACTTCACAATGATTGAGTGTTTTTAAAGAGATGTAAGAACATGCTGTTTTCCTTTGTTAATTTTTAAATGCATAGGCACACAGGACTGATGGAGGTTTGTTCTCATCACAGGTATTTCAGGCTCTAAAACTTGCCACATCACAGAAAGGGATTTTCAATTATTATTATTATTATTATTATTATTATTATTATTATCATTATTATTATTCTACCTGGGAAGAAAAGACTGATAGCTTGTTTTCAAATATATATATATATATATATATATATATATATATATATATATATATATAAACATAATGAACTCGAAGTGTTAAAAATGACCATAGAAGCCATTTCTTCTCGCCCTGAAGCTGAGTTTGGCAACATGACTTGATGTGACCAATGGAACTACAGCAATATTCCACCAGCAGGAAGGCACTAGCATTTTAGCACTGGCCTCCTCTGGCTGCAGGTGAGAACCCGGAGATTCCCCCCAGGGAACCAGCCTGAGCAAGGCTGCTAGAAAATCAGAGCCATGACAAGAAAAATGAGGACACCCAGCTGTGAGTCAGTCAATTGCCAGACATGTCAGTAAGGTTATCCTAGATCATACAGCGGTCTGCACATCTCCAAACAAGCCACGGAAGCATGAGAAAGCCTAGGAAAGACCAGCCAACGTGGCCAGGAGTGCAGAGCTACCAGCTCACCCACAGAATCTTAGTCTAAGTAAAATGGTTATTACAAGCCACTGTATTTTGAGGTGGTTTGTTACGAAACAAAAGCTAAATGATACAAACATGAACTAAAAACCCTTGAACACTGAATTTACTCTATCTCCAGGAGCATATTTTCATGTTTGGCATCTAGGCACAGATCACTGGGAACCAGTCTCCTGGGTGATGCAGATAAATCCCGAAACAAGTCATGTGCACATGGTCTGTGAGCATGAATGCGTGTCAGTCAGGGAGGGGAAGTGGGTGAGAATCACATAAATACATTTTATGATCTTTTACATGGCCTATCTGGTTCTGTGTTATGATGCAATCACAATGTCCACATAAAAAAAATCCTCATTTATTAGATAATTTTAAAGATGATAGACACCTAGGCTGTATGCACTTTTGATTGAAATGGCACACTTTCATTAAATGATAAATTATTTTAAATAAAATATATTAATTCTCAATTATTCTACTGAATATAAAAAAATACTAAGAATAATGTCAGGAGGTTGAGACATTATCTACTATTTCAGTGGACTAGTTTTCACAAACGTCACACACAAATGTTGAGTGGATCCTCTGAAAACATAAAATAATTGTATGCTTTTCCTTCTCTACTTCTTTATCATTTTATGGGTGTTTTATTTGGAATATTAATAAACTGATGAACCTAATCACCAATTTCCCTTGAAAACAGACTATTTTTCTATAAGAGCTCAACTGCAGACCAGCCAGTCATTTTTACTTTGATTTTATTTTATATCTCTTAAAACTTTTAAATGAATTCATGTATAAAATTTTGGTAATAAATATTATTAAATTGGAAAAGTGCTTGAAATATTTATCACCTTAAATTATTTCCTGTTATAATTTTGAAAATAGTGCGAAAAGAAGTGTTCTAGTTAATGTGGTTTATGGCCATCATTTACATTTTAACACTCACATACTGCATGAGCAATAGATGCATTTGAAGATTGTGAAAAAAGCTAAGACCTCAATGCTGAACTGAAAAAAATATATTTCCATAATCAGATTGGTGTAATTCTTATCCTAGTATGTGCACTTGATTTATAGAAGTTTTGTCTCTTTGAAACTTCATTCCCAAGTTATTGTTTTACCCTTTTTCAGTCCTTTCCATGCAGTATAAATGGTAGTTATCATTCAATGCAGTTCTACAATTTAATTAACGATTAATAAAATATATCCATTTTATGACTTCATATTAATCTCTGTAGGCATTCATTTAAATTTAACTCACACTTATTCTTTCTTCCTTGTCATCAATTCGAACTTTGTCTTTTTTCCAGTAGATGGTGGGTTCTGGGTGTCCCCGAGGAGGTTGGCACTCCAGGATGGCGGGCTCTCCAGCTGCCACTACAACATCTGTGGGGTTTTGCCGGAAGTCATCTCGTAACACTGAGGAAAAACAATTGTAGGGAAAGAAAACTCAATGGCAGTCACATTTGCTTTCTCTTGCAAAAGGTAACCCAAGTCTTAACTTTGTTCTAATAACAATTGCCAGGACATGTACTGAGAACACAGCCATGTCCAACTTAAAATATTCCAGAGCCAGCCTAAATGTTCATCAACAGAGAAATGGCCGACGATATGATCATGCACCTTTGTTATAAAATCCAATTTAGAAAATGAGAAAAGACTAAGGGAAATAAGGTGAGAAATATCCATGATCTAGTTTTGGGATTGAAATAAAAACTCAAGGTACAAAACTTTATATAGTATGATCCTAGTCTCTGTTTAAAAAGCATACATACATATATGCACAGAAATACATTAAAATAAATTGTCAACTTATCCTTAAAATCCCAAAACAAGTCATGTGCACATGGTCTGTGAGCATGAATCCGTGTCAGTCAGGGAGGGGAAGTGGGTGAGAACTCTTTGAGGAAGCTTTATCTCATGACATGAATATGGACAAGATCCATACTGTTTTCTTTACACTTCAGAAGATAGACTCATTGTTCCCCCTTGAAACGCACTAGCACCCACATACACAGGGCTCCATTTTCATTCTCTCTGCCTCTCCACCTGCCGAGCGACATCTGGGCAGCGTGACATTAGGAGCAGGGATATCCCTTATAGCAGTTTGCCAGCCTGCCTTTCCCTCCTTTCATTAGGAGAACAGCAGGTTGGACCTCCATTGTAACCTCTGAAAATCTGGTGCGCCTGGCTCTCCAAATGTCACCTATCTATCTGTGTCTATCTGTGTGCACTTTTCTTCCGCTGACAAGATGAAAAGCCCGGAGAAATAATGTGGCCCGATCGGGTTGCAGAACACTGGATTTATTTAGCGAGTAAGGGTTATGTCTCTTTTAGGGTAAACACTAAAAAAAGTAGTCGTGACCAGCTAATACTATACCATATACATTAACTGCCTCTGATTTTCCTAACTTCCTTGATTTTTCTATCCTTCTATCCAAAACTTAACATTTGTTTCCTAAATGTACCTAGGGGTAAAACAAATACACACATACAAATATACTTGTATGTGTATATATCTATATGTCTATACCTATATCTATATCATCTAATATAAATCTATACATATACCGATCAAGCTCTTTAAAATCAAAATTAGGCAGCTTGTGCTAGCCTGTTATGTAAATCAACTACTGCAAATGTGGGTTAGGTCAAACCAACCGCCTCTGGTATCCTGTAATGAGACCCATTTCAACACTGATTCTTTGTTGGGCAAAGTCTCTGGGATAATTGTCATTGCCAAATAAATAAAAATCCTCTGCCCTGAAAATAGCTCCAGAGAGACAAATGAGTGACTTGTAGGGCTTTTCTTCCCTTGTCTTTTGCAAAACCTCCTTTAACAGGGGTTTCCATCTTAATGAAGTCGTGGCCCTTTACGAGGCTAGAGAACCTTGTTTCCTACTGAAGGAGTTCAGTACAAATTGTTCACTCTCAGTTTATAAACTGATTCATTTACTGCTTTTTCGCTGCTGAGGAAATCTGTTCCTTTTTAATACGGTGACCTGCACTTATTTTGGTTCTCTTCCCTAACTGGCAGGAAAGGTGTGAATTACATGTCCAAGGATTTGCTTCCCAACCGAGCTGAGAGAAGTGTGTATTTAAATGTGACGTTCAGGCAGGGGGATGAGAAAGGGTTAAACACTGTGGTTCTCTCACAGGTAAATCCTCCTGGGAGAGCAAGCTGGTGACTCATTTATATTCTAAATACACAACAGCTGCCTATTTATGCAACGTGAAGATGTGCAAAAATATGGTAACAAGGTGGTGAGCACCCCTATACTATCCGGTCCTGGCAACAAATAGTGCTTTGGCAGACCTTCAATCTGTTCCAAAATGACACATCTGGCCAGTTGAAGGACCTTCTCCAGGACTGGCCTCCTAACAAATGACATGCCAAAAAGCCTCTGCTCAAATGATATGTAGAACCATTGTGGATCTTTGAGAAACACAGCACTACAGCAATTTGCAACAAGACAAATTAGAAAAAAAAAAAGTCCTTTGACATGGGGACAAAAAAGAAAAATATCATAACAAACTAAGGACTGCGACTCTTAAACAATATAACATGTGTTTATGGTATTCACAAAGAAAGAAAATGACTCCATACTGCAAATGAAGCCAAGAAATCCAACATCAACTATAATTTTAGGCTTTCAGACTATTCACCCGGAGAGTAGGGTGAGATAATAGGATAATTGGTACTGTATCCTCTTCAACTTGTAAAATGCTCTTTGAGGTTTGTATAGTATTCACCTAATTCATTTTTTGCTTAGTGATATCATTTATTTTACTCTAAAGTCTTAGGTGGTAATACAATATGTTTCTTCTCTCTCTCTCTCAAGTAAAACATTCAAGAGAAAAACATCCTTTTCAGCAGGTTCTAGCACAGCAAACAGAGAACTTACTCCTAGGAAACAGTAGTAATTTTTACTCATCTCAGATTGTTAAGGACATTTATGTTCTGACATTTGCTTAGATGTTTCTGAGGTTTGTATATCCATTCATAAGTATAAGCAACACAGAATGAAATAATATTTACTGTTTGCAAATTTTGTACTAATTATTCATTTCTGGTTTAGATTTTGCCCTGTGCTTCATTGCAGGTGATAAAGAATAGAAGTAAAGGACTGTAAGTAAAGGACTCATATATGTTGGATGAAAGGAACTAAAATGATCTTGTAAAGAAGACCATTTTGTAGAGAATCAGAGCAAGTCGAAACTGAGTCTATATATTTTTCTCCTTAAACCTCTATTCTAAAAAGAACTAAAAGCTACATTTGAAAGTGGTTTGACAAGCAAGCCAAACCAAGAGCATACAGTAATATGGTCATTACCTAGAGGTACAAACAAGTCATTAAATAGGGTGAAGAGTAAACTTGATGAACTGAAAAGAATCTGGTTAAAATGACAAAATCTGGGGGGGTATCAGTAAGTTATACTTTAAAGAAAAAAGTGAGATAATACTTCCTCACAGATCTAAGTTTACAACACAAGGGTTCAGATCTTCATAGGAAAAAAAAACATCTGATTAGCTAGGACCCAAATATTCATGTTTGCATATGAGTTAAGAAGCACAAATGAGAGTTCACCCAGCTAGTCATAACCTGGATTGGATTTGCATTATTTTTACATTGACAAGCACTGTGCCTTAGAAAGTTACTCTGGAAGACAGAAAATTCTGAATGACTAGTGTGTTTGATAAAATACAGTTCACATTTATGATGTACATATAAATTTGTAACAAATCAATTTGATTCTGCAGGAACATATTGAACACTACAGTGTGCTTGGTACTGTCCTATAAAAGTTAATAAATATAAAACAAGAATGAAATGATGGTGCCTGTGGTAGGCGTTTTCTCTAATGCCGTTCAATGATCACTCCCTCCTGGAACTTATCCCCCGCCCCCTAGACTATGGGCTGGACTTAGTGACTTGCCTTTCATGAATAGAACATTGCAGAGTAAGGAAATGTCACTACCAAGATTAGGTTATAGGAGATTGTAACTCATCTTTTTTGTCTGTCTGTCCTTCTGTCTCTCTGTCTCTCTTTATCCCCCTCTCTCATACGCTTCCTCTGATCATGCAAGATGTCATGCTGCTCAACAGAGAAGCCCATTTGGAAACAGCAAGCAAGGAATTGAGGCCCTCAGTTCAACAACCCTTGAGAATCCAATTCTTGCCAACAACTAGGTAAGCTTGGGAGCAGAAAATTCCCCGGCTGAGCCTTCACAAGAGACTAGGGCTGCAGCCTACACCATCGACGGTGACTCACGACAGCCCAGCTCCAGGTCGAGCTGTTGTTCACCATCTTAGCTGTAGAGGACAGTGTCACTGGCCCCCATGTGGGATTCGAACCGGGGCCCTGCTGCTCAGAGCTGGCATCCCAAGCCAGCTCTTAACCAACGCGCCACTCGGCCGGCCCGATAACATTCTATTCTTAAAATTATTTGGCATGTTGTTTAGAATCAGGTCCCTGCTTATATTTTCAGACTCATTGTGGACATGTTTGCAGCCCCTCTGCCCTCGGCATACAGAGGAACATCTGGTTATCAATGTACATTAGCATATGATGGTCTCTGTTTGAAAATCTCTGCCAGGTACTCCTTTGTTCCATTACTTTTTCCTATTCCTTTTTCCAAACACATACTACTCTTTTGGTGTCATCTTCAAACTCACTCATCTGAGAAGTTTTCCCTTCTATTCTTACGTCGAACTTGGTAACCTTCTAAAGGGCTCCCATCTTGAAGGGCCTCAGAAGAATTTATCAAATTCTCTTGGATAGGTTGATTGAATTGATAAACTCCTCTGTAAGAGGTATGTTGCAGTTTTATCTTATTATATAAAATAGACCACAATGTTTTAATTTGATTTTAAAATGTCATTTATGAAGAAAAATTCAATTTGGTTGGATTTAAGAGACAGCGTACTTGACTTGCCTACCTACAAGCTCATATATCTCTAAAATAAAAGTCAGGCAGTTCAAGACGTTCAGAAATCAATCATTCAGATTGATTTGCAACCAGTAAAGATTAGTTGAAAGAAACAACAGATTGATGTGCAACCAGTAAAACGGTTAGCACAAATTATAGTATATCAGAGTAAATACTACAATGAACTGGAAAAAAAAGTGATAGCCATCCCTACAACTGGTACACATTATTTGTTTAACCCCATTACCACGAACTATCACCAGGGGTAATGATCAGATGTAGTCTCAACCACCAAGAAACTCAGGTCTACTCCACTTCTGAGAAAAGTACTCTGTCTCTCCTTGCTGCACGAAATGGCTGTGGTCGGCTGCCATGCTGTGACCCCAGGGGGAGCTCCAACTTCAGGATGAAACTGAGGCCATGCACAGTAGAAAAATATCTCCGAGTTCTTGGTGACACAACTGGACAAATGAATCCCGAAGACTGT